CCGCTCTCAGCAGCTTGTCATGTGGTCTCCTCCCAGGCCCACTCCAGCTTCAAATCTCCCCCATGCAGAGCACCGTCTTCAGGAGGATCGCAGTCCCCTTTAGGGATCACCTGATTAGGCCAGGCTCACCCAAGGTAATCTCCCTTTCTTAAAGTCTACTGTGCCCCGAAACATAATCTAATCGCAGGAGTGACTCTCCCATCAATGTCATGGGCTCCACCCACACTCGAGGGGAAAAAGAGACACAAGGTCATTGGACACCATCCTAGAGCTCTGCCTAGCTCAGGTGGTCTAGACCGGTGTAGAATGAGGGAGGGCGGGAAGGAGGGAGGAGGGCAGGAGACTAAGAAGGAAATAAGGCATTCTTCAGTTTGAGGAAAGTTGCTTCGGGGTCAGTACGGGAAGGACTAGGTGCTAACTAACTTACCCAAACGACAGCCTAGTGGTTAGTCTCATAATTTGGTCTCCAGGCCCTTCCCTCCGTGGTGCCTTCAGTGATGAAGGAGGGTGGGAAAAGTGCCCCATGGAGTTTGATGACCGGGGAGCAAGGTCTGGCCCTGTTCTTGCTCGCGCAGTGACTACAGGCACTGAGTATTTTAGTGTCAAAGCTGTTCCCCCTACAGCCTTCCTAAGGATGTCCAATGCCAGAGACATTTAAACATTTCCTTCCCCCCCCCCCACCCCCGGAGATACCCGATGTCACCTCCCTGGGAAAAGGGGCCAGGAAGGTGAGCAGTAAGATTCCTGGCATGTTCTCTTTTCTTCCGATGGCCCACCCAAAGTGCTTGAGAATACCTTGGCTTTTCCCAAAGCCCTCAGTAGGAATTCAGTTCCACCAACTATAAAATTTCAGCAAGTTGGTCAAGGTCAAGGCTGACCGTATTCATGGTGTTGTAAGATCAGAATGGTCATCACGGGTGAGACTACGGGCTGGAGTCACCCCCTGACATGCAGTCCCATCTCCAGGTCTTCGCCCAGGCTGTCTCTCTGCCTGGGTTGTTTTCCCAGCACGTGGAACAGAGGAAGTTGCAAGCCAGTGTCCTGCCTGACCAGCTGGGCCACTGAGGTTGACCAGATGGACTCTGTTTATTTAGGGCCATGGTTCCCCTGTGCTGGCCACTCTCTGCCGAGCCCACTGCCTATCAGGGCACTCTTGGTGGCTAATTAGGCAGGCTTCCTCCTGGAGCGCCAGGAAACTGGAATGTGAGCACAGGCTCCCAGAGCGCCCATCCAGGCAGGTAGTGGACAGAGACCCACAGCAGCTGCTGCTTCTACCCAGAGCAGAGGCTCCAGCACCACCCAGAAAAACCCAAGGTAGACCCAAGGGCGGATCATCCCCTCTCTTTAACCTGGGAACCGCTTTCCTCGACACTTTTCGTTGCAAACTGGGGACATTCTCAGGGTACCTAAGTGAACATGAATCCGGTCTCCCCAAAAGTCTGAAGGGACCCCACAAAGTGGAGAACCTTGCTCTAAGCACAGGGCAATGGTTCTTCATCAGCAAAGTGGGCATACTCCTCCCCACGCCCCCGGCTGCTGAGGGGTAGCTGCATGCCCATCCTGTCCATGGTCCCTTCGGGACACACCACTGCGTGTGAGGCCCCTCGTGTGTCCATCAGACCTCGCACATGCTGCCTTGGTCATGGGCCCTATAAGCAGTCAGACCAGGTGGGAAGCCAGAGGCTAAACAGGGCAAGGAGGCAAGGGCGTTCACCCGAGGGTACATCGAGGGTGGTCACAGGTCAGCATTACGTCCCACGATGGGTTAACACCTCCATGAACCTTGGTGACACCCCACCCGCACGACATCCCCCCAACACGTCCACAGATGACCCTTACATCCCAATCTCCCTCCTCTATCTCCTGACCTCCAGACCTATAGACATAGCTGACCCTGAGCTCCTGCCTCATGTGTCCCCCAAGGCAGCACAAATGCAAACAAAACTCAAGGCATCCCCTTTTGCTCCCTGTCCTGTGTCCTCAGCTCAAAGCTGGGCACCACCTTCTCAAATGCTCTCCAAACATAAGCACCAGCCTTGACCCTCCCTTTTCCTCACTTCTATGTCCAGGCCCTTTGGATCCTGCTTCCCAAATGCCTCTTGAATCTACCCAGCCCCATGGCCACTGCCTGAGTTCACACCCCCAGCCTACATCCCTGGACCACGCCCCCATCCGCCTCCTGTCTGGGCCCTGCACCCTCGATGCACCCTGTCCTCCACCACAAGCGGCACCAGGGCTCTTGAGCCGGGCCTGTGCTCAGCATCAAGTGCACAACAATGGTTATACGTCAGTCCCTATCTTCAAGGGGCTTTCCAAGCTTCTAAAATCATGCCCTCGTCAAGTGGATGCAGTAGGCTGGAAAGGACCAGGGGGATAAGCTCAGACTCCGGTCAGGCCTGTTGGAGTCAAATTCAGCCTTGCCCTCCAATTGATCATGACTTTGGGCAAGTGATTTGCCAGCTCTGAGCCTCAGGACTAATCATCACACAGCACCTGCCACATGGGGCCCCAGGGGGAGAGTCCCAGAGATGTCACTGAAGTCTACTCAGTAATGGGGGAATGTTCCAGCTACCATCACAGTCCTGAGAAACCGACGCTCCTGCTCCGGGACCTGGATTTGATTTTGCTGACCCTCCTGCCCTGGGAGAGACATCCGTGCACGGGCGGCCCTCACCTGCCCAGCCTGCATGCAGCCTGCTCCTTCCTGGGGCTGGCTCCTTTCCGGGCCCTCTGGCTCAGACAGGCCCTCTCAGTGGGTCCCAACTCAGCCCTGTCAAAGGACCCCTGTGTGAGCCTCAAATGGGGCATTGATAGGGCCGTAGTGAGGGTTGCCCAGCCGACGGCAGGCTGGCTTGGCTTGGCCAGGCCACACAACTTCCCCAAACCCAGCTATTTCCTGTTTCTCGGGCCAGCCCCTCCGGGCCGCCTGGCCACAGGGCACAATCCCGCTATACATCTCTGCCTGTGCCTTGGCTTCCGGCCAGGAGGGATGGGGTGGGGGGAGGGTGTCACTTCAACTGGTCCTCAGGACACACAGCCAATACCGTCCATCTCTATCAGAGCCTCACTTGATCAGTTCCTTGGGGATCTGACAAAGAATGATAAGAGCCATAAAGAAATCTGCTCTCCCGAGAAAAACTGACAACCCCAGAAGGTTGGTAACTCCTTCCTCAGCCCTCCTGTGGCTCCCTGCCTCTGCTCTCATCCTTTCTAGAGCCTGACCCTGTACTCCCCTGCCCAAACCCTTCAGGGACTCCCCCATCTCAGGATAAGTCCCTGCTCCTGGGTGCAACATTCAAGGCCCCATTAATACTGGTGACCAAGCCCAGCTCACACTTGCCCGGGCTCTCTGCTGACTTCACTCAGGCAGGTCCTTAGCAGCTCAGCCTTGGAGGACAAAGGCCAGAGGTGGAGACCCCAGAAAGAAAGAGATTATTAAAGAATTTGATTCCTAGGTCCAACCATGCCTAAAGCCAGAAATCTCTGGACTTGTCATTTATGTGAGCCAAGAAATATCACAACAACCTTTTTTTTTTTTTTAATTAATTTGGCTCATGAAGGTTTCTGTTACTTGCAACCATCTCCTTCCTGCAAATGCCCTTCTTGGCTGAAGTGAGCCAGGGTGGGCTTGCGGCCAAAGGACAGTAATGAATGCAAAGGCACTCCACGATCCAGGCCCCACCACCTCGCCAGGCTCCCCATCCCCACGTGCAGCCACACTGACCTACCTACCCCAGCTCCTCTCCCCATCTCTGCAGGGGCCCTCTACATACTTCCCCCCTTTGCTTACCACTGCCCGCTCATCCTTCCAACTCAGCTTGGTGAAAGGTCCTCCAAGAAGCCTTTGCTGACTGTAGGGGTCTCTGGGACTTTCCTTATCGTGGTGTTGGCCACGGGCTATCATAATCACTTATGGATCTGTCTTCCCCCTCTCCAGACTGCGGGTAACTGGAGGCAAGTCTGACCCATTACAGTCACCCCCCATACCCAGCACAGGACCTGGCTCCAGGTAGGCACTCTCCAGGTGAGTAGGCTTCACACCTTCTCTGGGGAGACATCCGGGTACTTATGTGGTCCATGACTTGGGATCAGAAACAGTGCTGGGTCACCCCCCATGAGTTTCTGGACTGAATAAATGCTGTGTGTGTGTGTGTGTGTGTGTGTGTGTGTGTTCACGTTTTTCCGGAAATGAATGCAGAGCTCCCAGCCCTGCCTACACATTTTAAGAACCACATCAGCCAAAGTGAAGCGTGGTGCTGCTTTATTGAAACTTCTTCCCCGTCACACACAAAGCAATTAAACAAGGGAGTGCTGGCGGGGAGCCTCTTACACAGCCCTCTGCCTCTGAAACCCCCTCTCAGACCCCAGAGAACCTGCCTCCATAGCCCTATTATCTCCGCCTCGGGATCAGCTCCCTCAGGAACCCCAGCCCACAGCGAAACAGGCGAAAGAGGGGGTGTTGAGACCCAAACCTTCCCTTCTCCCACCACCGCCATGAGTGCCCACAAAGAGTTTGCCTGCTTTGATTGAACTAACACGTGGATTTAGTCCCGCCAGCAGACCTGCCTGATGTCAGGGCTAAATTGCTGCTTAAGCACAAGCATTGGGCAGGACACAGACGCCTCTGCCCAAACTGGCGACAGATGGAGCCACCGCTGCAGGATGGTGGCAGCTCGCTGCCGGACACGACCACGCCGGAGGCCGCTCTTGTCGCAGACCCCACCGCTGTGCAACTATGCTGACCATGTGTGGCCAATTGTTGCTGATGATTGTCTGTCTTCAGCAAAAACAACTGTGCGTTTGTCAGTACAGTTGGATGATGGGAACTACTGTTATTTCCTGGAAGTAGCTGCTGGATGACGTTCGGCAACTGCCCGAATTTTCGTTTGAACTAACAATCACTCAGCCCCTTGGAAGTACCAGATTGACCGGAGTGGGCAGCCAGGTATTGGATTCAAATAAAGGGAATGGTTTGGGGCTAATTTGATTTTTATTGTTATTATTAAATTTTATCCCTGCTTTGAATCGACTGGTGGTTGGCTGTCCATAATTGTTGAACCCAGCAATTTGAAGAAATCAGACGTATGTATTTAGTGGGGAGGACCCAGGGACGATGACTTGGCCGCATTGCCCTGGGAAGGGACAACTGTCTAAAACCAATGCAACAGACTGTGGCGGTCTGACTAAACTGGTTCCCTGCACTGAGAAGTGTGCTTTTCATTTCTGGCCACATGGTCACACAGGTCAAGTTGCAAGTTGTTTAACCAAACCCACTGAATTGGGAATGACGAACGGTTTAAACAAATGTTGGGGCTGATCACAATAAGCCGAGGGCTGTTGGACCGAATGTCCAAGAGACTCAAGAAGTCTTTCGACCTGAAGTTGACCCAGTTGTGATCATCTCCCAGGCCCCATGGGAAAAGCAGGCCAGCGAGGGGGACACAAGCGGGTTGTCCTGAGGTCAGCCGGGTGGTTCACCCCGGCTGCAGGGGCCACCAAAGCAGAGAAGCGGATTGCGAGACAGCTCCGCCCCTCCCAGCATGGGGCTGGGGCCTGGCAGGTGTCACACCTCTGAGTAGGGAGGTGGTGCTGGGCCCCCATCTGGACTCTTGTACGGTAGGGAAAGGGCTTCCTCGTAGGATGGCAGGACCACCTGGGAACAAGAGAGATGGGGACTAAGGACCAGCCAGAAGGAACCAGATCCCAACCTGGAGTCAAGGAGCTCCAGCCCCCATCTCTGGCAAAATAGATGATGGTGATGACCAGCACACCTTGGGTACTTCTTCCGCTAGACATTGCATGCTGGAGACAGGTGCAGTGTCTATTGCTTTAGGGGACAGACTTGCCTCTGCCCGTCCAGTTTCAAGCCCCCTTATGGTGTTAATGATGCACCATTTTCCCTGGGAAAACATTCTCCATCCACATGCTTTCAGAAGAATTGGTCCCACCCCTCAGATCCGGGGTGGGACATGCGATCTGAGTGTGGCCACTCGAAGTAGAACTTCATCCTCCCTGGCTAATATCATTGGTCTGGGGACAGGCTTGTGACCCAAGCTGGTCCCTCAGACATGCTCCTGGGCCTTTCTGCTGGGGTTGCTGAGAGGGTGGGATGTCAATCTAGGGGTTTTGGCAGCCATTTTGCCACCATGAGGAAAGGGTGGCCTGAAAATGGAGCCCACACTGAGGAAAGCAGAGTCAAGAGATGGAGAGGATGAGATCACATCCAGGTGTCACAACTCAGCCAGCCTCCGTGAGCCAGACCTACAATGGACCTTCAGGTTCTGGGAGTTAATAAATTCCCTTTTTTCACATAAGTCAGATTGAGCTGGGTTTCTGCCACTTGCAACTAAAAGTGTCTTGACTAATACAATCCCCATTTTACAGATGAGGAAAGTGACACCAGAAATTTAAACCAGCTGCACTTTTCCCATCATGTGTCTAATGAGCTGCTTTCTAAGTGCACCTCATCTCTCTGCCTAGAAGGCCCCTTCCCCTTTCCCAGCTAACTTGTATCAACTTGCAGTCTAAGACTTGATCAAGTGTCACCCGTTCCAGGAAGCCTTCCCTGATACCCCAGATGAGGCCAGGTACCTCCTCTATGCTCCCATTTCCCCCATGCTTCATGCTTCATTGCAATCAGATCTCTGTGTCTGGATTCTCTGTGGGCTCTACGCTCCCCTAGGAAGGGGTGGCATCTCAGTTTTCTTTGCACCCCCAGAGTTGGATACAAAGCCAACAAAGAGTAAGAGGCAGAAAATGGTGAATGCATGAAGGAATAGAATCCTAGACTATCAGAGCCGAAAGAGATCTTCACATTTCTTCCGGTCCAATCATCTCACAAGGGGAAAAACCGCAACCCAGGGAGGGAGAGAGACCTTCCCCCGATGACCCAGGGAGTGGCAGGGCTGGGACTTGACCCCCCACGGGGCTCACCTTCTGCAGCATCTTGGAGCAGCTCCTCTCCTCGGCTGAGTTCATGTACTTCATGAATTTGTAGCATCTCCACACGCACTTGAACATGTAGACCTGAGAAACAGCCAGATCAGACCATGCTTTGCTGACCATTCTCACTGCCCCAGCAGGCCTAGGACAGACGCTGGGCACTTCCTGGGCAGCCCCAGATCAGCCCAGAAGGCAGCATCTGGCTGGTCCTGGTGGAGGGGCACCTCACCTGCTGGTCCCAGGTGTTCTGAGGATTGCTCTTTCCACTAACTTGCGCAAAAGGGGGCTCTGGGGAGCTTCTGCCCACCCCCCACCAGCCTCCTGGCAATGGTCCTGCAAATTGTCCTTCTCCACCCCCTGGGGCTGGAAGCTCACTACCTCCTGAGATGGCCAGTGATGTTTCTCTTAACAGTGGATATAAGCACTGGGGGGATTTTCAGGGTGGGGAGTGAAGCCCCCAGGGACCTGTTCAAGGAACAATAGCCAATAGGTCTCTCTCTGCCCCCAAACTGCCTCCTAAGTAAGGAGAATGGGTCCTGTCTCCTGGCAGTTCTCTTGTTTTATGGAACCCCCATGATGGGGACGCAGGTGGCAGGAATAAATAAAATGAATTACAAAAGAATGAAGTAGGAGGCAGGTGGAGGACGGTGGCCAATGAGGCAGAGGAACAGAGAGAGAACTCCCCCCAAGGGGGATAAAGAACTGGAGGGGTGGGGGAGACAGCTATGCGGTGGGCCTTGGGGAGTCGCTCTCCAGGAGGGTGTATGATGTCAACCCCTCCCCGCCCCCCCGCACTGGATCCCCTAAGCCTTCAGGAAAGTTCTCACTGCACTTCACGGAAGCCCTTGTGCTAGGCCCCTCCTTTGAGGGAAGGCTCAGAGGAGGGAAGTTCCGTCTGCGGGCTGACATTAGGTGATGGCATGAGGCTGCCCAGGGCCGCCAGTAAAAGGAGACAGTGACGTCCAGCTACACCCACACACAGAAAGACTGGGAGGAAATGGGCCCAGGTATCAGGAGCACTGGTCTCTGAGTGGTGGTGGGTGGTGAGCTGATTGCCTTCTTTCTGCTCATATGTAGTTTCCAAATTTCTACAATGATCCTATGTTACTTTCACAATCAGAAAAGAACACTCTTGAAAGCCCTTCTTTCTGCTGAGTCAACATCAGCCTCCCTGGGGCTTTGGGATACAGGCTCCAGTGCTGGCCTCTAGAATCCCCATGAGCATCCTTTGGGTATTTGGAGACCCCTTGAGTCACCTCTTTCCAAGCTGAATTGCCCTGGTTTCCTTGACTCCCTCAGATGGCAGAGGGTTAACACTCCCCAGTCTGTCATAGCTTTCTAAGAGTGGGTACCTGACATGGGACTCTATCTTCTGGGCCTGACCACCTCAGAGAAGAATAAAACCATTCCCCTCCCTCGTTCACATCACCGTACCTCTAGTAATATGACCTCAGGACCCATCTACATTTTGGTGCCTGAATCATATAAAGCTGTGACAGGGGCAAAGCAATATTAATTCTGTCCCTTTCACAGATGAGACCCAAGGCCCAGAAAGAAAAGACTCGAAAGGCAACCACACAAAGCTAGCAAGGGGAGAGTTGGGACTCATATCCAAGACTTTCTGGTCTGATTTGAGACAGAACAGCTCCTCCTTCCCTGGATCAGGATGTCTCTGGGTTGCACATTAAGTCCCTGACACCTGAACGCAAGTGGTCTTCACAGATCCCCTCCCTCTCAATGGGGTGTCCCCAAGGATCCCAAGTGGGGTCCAAGGAGCTGGTGTGGGAGAGCTGGAGGAAGGAACCAAGAGCAGGGAGGGCAGCAGTAGAAGACAGTGGAAGACTTCCCTGCCTCCTAACAGTCTGATATGGAAGGGCCTGGCCAGCACGGGCTCCCCACCCTTCCCGGAGCCATGCTAGGGGGCCTCTCACCTTCAAGATGAGGACAGTGATGAAGGCGATGGAGAAAATGATCATCATCTTGATGAACTGGCTGTGAGCCACACCCTCCTGGCTGGGGAGGTAATTCTGCAACAGATTTGGAAGCTGCAACAGTGCCTCTGTCCACAAGAAACTCTTCCAGCCTCCACACGTGGAAGGATGACACAGCCACTGTCCTGGCTGACCCCTGCCAGGGCCCTAGGAGGCCAGCACTACCTACCATCAGCCCCCTGTGACAGGCGAGCAAACCAAGGGAAGCAGGTGCAGCGGATACCCACCCAGTTGGCTCTTACCTGGCTGGAGCCCCTGGCCCCCAGCCCCCAGCTGCAGTGGGCCCTTCTCTAGAAGCTAGGCTCACTGACAGAAGCACCCAGTCCTGACACACGTGGGAGGCACACCCCAGCCGCGCCAGCAAGCCATCTTGGGAGTGGGCCCTCCAGACCAAGTCAAGCCCTTGGCGTCCACAGCCCCATCCCCATCTCTGGGGGCACCTCATGAGAGACGCTGAGTGTGAACAACCCAGCTGAGCCACTCCCAAATTACTGGTCCTCAGAAACAGTGTGAGATAGCAACTGTGTATTGTTTCAAGCCACTACGTTTGGGGATAACTCTGATCTTCATTGATTCAAGAATCTCATCATGCCTTAAGAGTATATATAGAATTGAAACATGAACTTCACAAAATCATTTACTATATGGCCACAATAATTTCTAATGTTGAGAATGAGATTGTGGGTTGTGTTTAGTTTCTGTTGTGCTTATGCACACTTTGGAGTGAAATACTAAATCCATCATTAAACCAAAACATGGGATTATATAGAAGACAATGCAAAAGGCCAGGCTATTTTATCATTGATCAAGGGATGTAGATGAAGCACCTGGAGAAGTCAGACAGTCCTCTTTAGTTTCATGGTGTAGTGCACTAAAATTGTGCAGAGAAGCCTCGGGGCCATCCTGAGATGTGTCGAGTGCCCCCTTCTCCTTTCATAAAAAATGGATATTATTTCTGCAATGCAATTCACAGACTAGGACTCCCTCTGGGATCGGGCAAGGCCGTCCCCAAAGTCACACGTCTGTCTGGCTTCTTCCTTTTGCCTCACATGCTCCTCCCTCTCTTTTTCAAGTGTCTTCCTGAGAGCTCTCCCTCAATCAATCATTTACACAAGAATCCTCCTCCCGAGCTCCACCTCTAGGGCACCCAGCCCAAGCACAGAGGCACAGAGAGGGGAAGCAGCTCGCTCAGTGCCACACAGCCCATGATGGGGGCAGGTGCCTGGCCCATACTCACCATGTGGTTCATGGCCTTGAAGTTGAGATAAGTGGGTACTTCCATGTAGGAGCTGCAGAGGGTCAAGATGCTCAGGCAGAAGTCAAGCAGCTGCAGGGTCATCAATGGGACCTTGGAGGGGCCCTTGGGAGGGCAAAGGCAGGAGGAAGGAGACAAACCAGCAATGAAACCCTAAGCCAGAGATCCCCAGGCGGTTCAAGAGACAGTCAGCCAGAGACACTGGGGACTTTCCAACCCACAGGACCCAGAAAGAAATGGATACCCAATTTTTAGACATTCCCGCTGAGGGCTGGTAGCAGGACCTGGCCTCCGACCAGGGTCTCCTGATGCCCAGCCCGGGGCCAGCAACTCAGTCTCTTCTAGGACAACAGTTAAGGAAAGTCTGAAAAGTAACTTCTGGGGAGCCGAGTCAGGGATTGGCACCTCCGTCACGGGCATCTGCCCTGTGGATGTTCATCGTTGGCTTTAATCAACTTTATCTTCCTTCTTTACTTGGTTACAAAGGAGGGACAAAGCAGGGGCTGGGCACGGACATGGGCACACGCCCTTCCCTGTAGTGTAAACTCACACGTGGCTGGTATTTGCCGAGTGCCCACAACGTGTCGACCACCCTGTATACACTGTCCTTACCTCATAACCGTAACACATGGGGATGGTGAGCCCTTGCAGGCACATTTTACAGAGCAAGAAAGTTGGCGTGATTTGATGGGGCTCGGGCTCATCAACGAGGGAGGGGCCCAGGGGACAGAGCCCCTGCCACCTCCCCAGGCTGGCTGGCTGCAGGACGTGGGGCAGGGCTGGGTACTCACAACCCGGCTGCTACGGGAGGCAAACTTGAGGTAGGCGGGCAACTCGATGTAGGAGCCCAGCAGGGTGAGCAGACACAACAGGAAGTCCATGATTTGCAGGGACAGGAAGGGCAACAGGTACTTCTCCCGGTTCTAGAAGACAGGCCCAGCATTGTCAGGGAGTCCCCCGCAGCCTAAGGCCCCCACGCGCCCCCCTCCCCGGCAGCTCCCTTCCCTCCCTAGGTAATATGGCCCTTTCCCAAATCATCCCCTCTTGGCTGGGCCAAGGTCGTTCCACATGGACCCACATGCCTTCCCCTGAGGGAGGTTCTGGGATGGGGAGAAGTTAAGACTCAGGCCCCAAGTGCCAGGCGTCTTGGTGTCCCAGGAGACAGGGAGAAGTGTCCCCATCTGCAGAGATAAGTGCTCCCAGGCCTCCAGAAGCAGGGTTTCAAGAACCCAACCAGGAAGGGCTTTGTGTCCATTTTACAGATGAGAAGGCATCAAAGAGGACTTCCTAGAGGTGGGGACGCTGAGGCCAGATCTGGAAAGAACCACCAGGGAAATGGGCAGGGTACTGGAGACAGAAGGGCCAACATGAGCAAAGGTCCAGTGGGTGGGGGGAGGGGGGAAGCTCGCATGGCTTCAGTGGTGGGACCCTCCTCTGTGTGGACCACTCTTGGGGTGTTCGGTCATGGTCAGAGGCCCTGGGAGGCCGAGGCTGAAGTCCCTCTCCTTCAACTTCAAACAAGTGACTACTGTGACCAGCGTGAGTGCACATGAACCCGCCGTTGGGGACAAAATCACAGAAGAGGTGGTTTTGTGGTTTCTCACGTGGCTGTCTCAAATCACTCGGGAGGCAGCCAGAATAGCTGAGACTCAATCTCAGGGTCTTCTGGGACGCCCTGGTCCACTTTTCCAGCTGGACCATGCCCGTCTCTGCATGAGCGCCTGGGACCTGCCCTGCACAAGGTACAATCACTCCCTGGGGCACAGAGCTTCCGAAGGGTGCTGTTAGCAGAGGGAGTGGTGGGGGCAGTGCAGGCAAGGTGGGCACATTCCAAAGCAGCCCCCCATCCTTCCTTGCCCCACTCTGCTGGCCTGCGAGTGCCAGGCCACTGGCTTCCCGGGGAGGATGCTCTTGCTGGGTCCTGCTCCAGGGGCTGTGTGGTGAGGCCCTGGCTTCCTGCCCCCCGGGGCCAAGGGACAGACTGGTTCTTCTTCACAGATGGCTGAGCCACAGCCTGTCTCTCTCTCTCTCTTTCTCTCTCACCAGCTAGCTGGGTGGAACTGAGCCAGATGTTCCCCTAGCTCTGGTTCCTCTCACTGATTACGAAACCCACTGCTTTCTCCCCTCTCCCCACGCCTCGAAATGACCCTTCCTCTTTTCTCTATCAACATTCCCTGCTTGCATTTGCAGCTTCCAAGCATGTGGGTCACTGGCTAGTACAACCAAAGTACCCGCGTGCACACCCCCACCCATGGAGGCTATGCGTTAGTAGGGAACCAAGGCCTCCAGCTGGAGAAGCCTGGTATGGAAACGAGGCTTTCCAAACTGTAAGCAAGCATGAAGATCTCTAGGGTGCAGGGGGCGGGGTCTCCCAAATTACCCACCTCCCACCCTCTTGGCAGCCAAGGCTGCCCACCCAGTGGGTGTGAATAGGAGGGGGGGGCAGGAGGGTAGCTGGGGCTCCTGGCCAGCTCCCAGGTCCTGATTCCCATTCCCCTCCCCCGACCAAGCCCTCACCTTGACCACTCCGATCAGCAGGCTCAAGCTGATGACGAAGAGCATGGTGATGAGCAGGAAGCTGGAGATCAGGTTGGCTGAAAGGCAAGGGAGAGCAGTGAAGGGCCCGGAGGTGCCCCCAGGACCCCCACGCAGGTTCCAAGGACCACATTTTGGGAACCACTGGTGTGGGGGCTATGACAGTGAGGAGCAAGCCCAGGCCCTGCCCTCCTGCTGTTCTCGGTCTTGGGGGACTACAAAGACAGCAAACAGAACATTTTGGGTAACACAGGATGCAGGGTAGGAGGATGGCTTGGGTCTGCTTTAGCCAGGGTGAGGCCAGGGAAAGCTTCTGAGGAGGCAGCCTGCGAGCCGAGTGACAAGGAGTCCAGGCAGCTGAGACGGGGCTGAGCTCCGTGTGGTCGGCACAGCAGGAGCAGGGAGCGAGGGGGTGCTTCGAGATGGAGCCAGAGAGGCCAGAGGGGCGGGATCCCACCATGGGGAGTTTCTGTCTTACTCCAGGGTGGTGGGCAGCCTGTGTCACCTTCCTAAGCCGGTTAGGTTTACAAAGCATCTTTCTCTCTGCTCTCACACCTAGAGACTTGGATGGGGACAGGTCTCCATTTGCAGAGGAAAGACCTGTGGCTCAGAAGGGAAGAGGCAGGGCATCAAACCCCAGCCAGTCTGCCCAGATCCAGGGCCCCTCCCCACACCTGCCCCTCCCGCTCCCGAGTCCCCCCAGGACCTACCGAGCCTGAGGTAGCCCGTCTGCCACACCTTGCACGACGCCTTGCCATGGACCACCTCCACTGAGTGCTCAATGAACAGCAATACACTCATGATCTGGGGGCACACAGAACATCCGTCAGTGGGGTCTGCACAGCTCCACCCTTGCCCCCTCCCACCCTGGTGACGGGGCAGTCCGGGAGGGTGGGGGGCCGCTGTGAGGAGGCTCCTGGAGGAGACAGCCGGAAGGCTGGGTCCATGGAGCATCCGGGATAAAGTGTGGCCTGAACAGGTAGACGGCTCAAGCTCCTTCTCCCTTTTCCCAGCTGTGTGAGCTTGGGCAAGTTATTCAGCCTCTCTATGCCTCAGTTTTCCCATCTGTAAAATGATAGTGCCTGTAGCTACCTAAGAAGGTTATTATGAGGAGAAAGTGAGGACATCCCAGGAGAGCTGGGTCTCAATAAAACAACAACTGTGGCTACTGAAGGTCAAGGTTGGGGGACCTGAGGGCTCCCATCAGTAACTGGATCCCTCTTCTGCACCCCCTTTTTCAACAGACTTTGGGCACTATAGGATCTTAGTCACAGCATCTGAGCATCACAGAGCCTCAGGTTCCTGGAATTATCAACATAGGCCTGCCAGCACCTGATCCGTGACTCCCCGGGGAGCCCTGCCAATCCTATCCCCCATGACCCCTCAATTTCTCCATCTGCAAAATGCAGATAATAATACCTGTAGTGGGGCCAGATGGAATAATTCACTTAAAGTACCTACGCTCACTATTATGATTGCTATTATCCCCACTGGACTGTAGGTTCCAGGCAGGGAAGGCTTATGTCTCTCTTGTTCACTGCTCTAGCTACTGTACTGGATGGATGGACGGATGGATGGATGGATGGATGGATGGATGGATGGATGGACAAATGAATGGACCCCATCCAAATCTGATGGGCCTGAGTGTTGTGGCCCTGGTGACAACCGGAGTCTAGCCACAAAACTGCAGTGTGAAAGGACCTTGGAGGTCACCTTGCCTGTGCCCTCCGCCATCCAACACAAGACTCCTGTGCCATGCAGCGTCTATTTAAATACTTCCAGCCAGGGGAACTTGCAGTCTTCTGTGTGTCCATGTCCTTGCAGCAAGCCTTCTGCCCTTCCCCCACCATTGCACACAATTCTCCAGGAACCATCTGCCCACACTGAGAATCACAAGACTATCTCCTTCCTTGTAACGGATGCCCTACCTCTTTTAATATGGCCGAAGTTTACATTGGCTTTCTAGGTGGTCCTGCACTAGTAACTCATGCTTAGCTGACAGGCAACCAAATACCTACCATCTGTCTTCCCCTTGCTGACTGTGTGGGGTTTTTTTAGCTCAGACACAGGTCTCAATTTGTCTTCCTGCCATGTTACAGTCTGTTCAGGGGGCACAAAGGGACAGCACAGAAGAGTGATGAAGAGCTGAGCTCCAGAGTCAGACAGAGATGGATTTGAATCCAGGTCAGTATGTGACCTTGGGCAAGTCATTTCACCTCTCTGAGTTTTGTCATCTGGAAACTGACAACCACTGGATTTAGTAAGGAATAAACTGCACTGTATTTGCAAAGCACTGAGCTAGGGGCCTACAGTGGGTGCTCAGCAAACATAATCTGCTTTTGGCTGCTGTGAGCTTACATGGGGTGATGGAATGTACCAGGAGCAGGTGCTGGGGAGTGGACAGCAAGCTCGCTCAAGCTGCCCCCTCCTGTTGCAGGGTAACCAAGAAAGGCTTTGTTTCACCAAAAAGGTTGAGAGCAGCCCCGAACGGAAGGCAGATGCTGTGGGAGCTGTGGCTGGCACCCACAGGAAAGAGCCCCAAGAGAGAAAAGCCGCTTCCTCAGCCCCTGAAGCCTGGGGGCTCCAGCCCCTGCCCTCCCCAATTTCACCTTTAATGAGGGAAGGGGGAAGGGAGGCAGATGACAGGTTCATCCAGGACAGGACAGGGCACCCTGAGAGAGGGTGAGCTCCCCACCTGGGGGGGTATGCAAGCAGAGCACAGATAAGACGTAGCTGCGCTTAGAAAGGCACATGAGTATCTACCAGGTGTGGCAAGAGAAGACTTCAGCAGTCCCAAGAATCCAGAATTGTCTGAGATCTGGGACGAAGCTCAGAATCAGACAATCCCAAGCTCCAGTTGCTTGAAAGAGCCCCTGCTTGTTTAATAAGCTCAGAGAGGTTAGGTGCAAGGACATACAGCAATTTGGGGACAAAGTGGAGACTGGAGTCCAAATCCTCCAGTGGTCTCCTGGCGCCTTTGCACACACCCCACTCCCCAGAACATCTCAGAGTCCCCGCTAGCCCGTACCCCAGAGGGTGTGGGTATTTTGATCATGCACCTATGTCAGTAAAACCTTTTGAACACATCCTCTATATTTCTTTCTTTCAAAATTATATGTATGTGTTACAGTTCTGGTTATTATGAACATCATAACACACACAAACACAAATGCAGAAGTTAATAAAGAATATAGTTGAAAAATTTGGAAATGCTAATAATACTGTCCTCCTAAGGCCCCAGCAGTCATCTCGGGCATCACCCCTCTTTGGAGACCAGCGCTAACCCACAGCTGTCCCCAACCCCTCAATTCAGGCCCAAAACATCTCTCACAGCCCCACCGCTATGTCCATGATCCTGCCATTAGCATCCCCGCTACCCTCCCCCTACCTCCCCCACCATATATCCTATGATCCTGAGAAGGGGAGAGAAAGGGAGAGAACTTTGTACCCCCTAACCAAGGTGCACTCCCCTCACCCTCCCAACAATCCCCCCAAACCCAACGAAAGGACTGTTCTGAATACTCCCACCCCTGCTGCACAGACGAGTGAAGCAAGGCTCAGAGAGGTCCGGTAACTTGTCTGTGGCCTCCAGCCGGTAATGGGTAGGGCCAGGATTCAAGCCCAGGCCAATGGGCCCTAGATTGGATGCCCTCCACTGTCCTTCCTGCACCTCCCAAGCTCCGGCCTCTGCCTGAAGCCCGCCTGCCTTCCCCACCCCCATGCCGCTGCCCCAGCAGAGTCAGAGGGGTGCCATCTCTTCCCTCCCCACAGCTTGTTCCCGGAACAGCAGGTGCCAGAACTAGTCCTCCTTTTGTAAAAACCACCTGGGTTTGAAACCAGGCTCAGCCTTTCCTCCATTTCTACCTTCTCAACAGTCCGGGAAGGGGAGGGAGAGAACTCTGTCCCCATTTGCCAGATGAGAACCCTGAGGCCCATAGATGGCAGGCACCAGCCCCGAGTCTCAGAGCCAGGCAACCTTAGAATTGGCCTCAGACCCTCTGCTGGGCCCTAACCTTCGGCAGACGACACCAGCCTCAATCCGGGAGAAAGACAGGAGTCTCAGCTCCCTAGAAGATGGGATGGAGAGGAACTGACATTTATTGAGTACCTACTGTGTGCTCAGACCTGCACACACAGGCTTACATCACAGTCTCCCAAAACCCTGCAAGAGAAGCAACACTTCCCCCATTTTACAGATGAGAAAACAGAGGCTCAGAGAGGAGAACTCACGTGGTCTGGCAGGGATCTGAACCGGGGTTCCCATGCCCCGAGGGTCTGGGGCTCCACCCAGGGCTGAGTGGACCCAGCCCCTGGTCTTGCCAACCATCTGCCCACCCTCCCCAGGCAGTTCTGGACACGCCTTGCTCAGGGACCCAGCAACTGGGGCACGAGGCCACCCACCCTGCCTCTCGGCTGTGTAACCCTAGCCAGTTCGTGGCTCCACCCTGCCCTCAGTTTACCTCCTCTGGTCAATGAGGAGAGGCACCCCCCTTTGCACCCAGGGCCACTGGGATGATTGAACTCCTGCAAACTATGGCATCTCACACCGAGGCCTCCCAGGGTGACCCACCCAGAGCTGGGCCCTGCTCATCAGAACGCCCTCACCGGTCCACCCACGTCCCTAACTAAGAGCCTTTGTAGTTCTGGGAAAGTACCTGGCTTACCTGCAGTGCATGCTGGAAGAGGCCCGGAGCCCCCTAGGTTCCAGATGTCCCAGGTCCCTGGCCCTCACCTGCCCCTCACCTCACCCCCATCCCTGCCGGTACCCACTGGGACAGAGAGCTGCTTTCTCCTGTGACCCACGACCTCCCGGGACAGGACAGGGCTCTTCTTCTCCTCCCACGAGCCCGGGAGACAACAGCCACTACCCCCCACCCCACCAGCACAGTGTCTCTCACTGCCTTCCCTCTTCAGCAGCGGGGTCGTGCAGAGTAGAGCTAGGGTGTGTGGCTCGGGTAGTCCTGGGCCCAACCCAAGCTCTGTGCCCCTGAGCAAGCCACTGACCTCTCTGAGCCTGTCTCCTCATCTGGGAAATGGGGACAATAACCAGACCTGCTTCGTAGGGCTGCTGTTGGGTCAAATGACACGGTAGCACAGAGCCAGGCATACAGCAAGTAAGTACTCCATAAACGAACACGGTAGGCAGCGTTCATTAATCTGTGTAGGTATTCAGTCACTCCTTCTGTTTGTTCACCCAGTAAATACCCTCGGAGCACATAGTGGCTCCAGGCCCTGTCCAGCGAAGCCACTGACCCTGGCCTGGCCTGAAGGTGTCACAGTCCCCAGGGGAAACCACCAGTGACCGGTGTGTTCAGAGTCACAACAAGGGACATGCAGAGGGCTATGGGTCCCTGATGAGGGAGTGATCACCACCATCTGGAAGACTCAGGGAGGGTTTCACAAATAGGAAAAGTTTGAACAGGGTTTTGAAGGATAAATAGGAGTTTCCCAACAGAGAAGAGAAAAAAGGCATTCCGGGAAGAAGGAACACTGTATGCAGAGGCCCAGAGGCTGGCAGGGCAGATCCAGGGAAACCCATGGGCAGGAATGCCTCGCCCTGAGGGCGGGGATGTTACCAGGGCCCAAGTGAGACCCAGAGAGATGCAGTGACCAGCCCAAGTTCACACAGGAAGTCTGCTGCAGAACCAGAATCAGCTTCGGTCCTGACACGGAGCCGGGGCTGACGCAACAAGACCACACTGGTGCTGACCACGCTCAGCCCACCCCGCCGTCACCCCGCTCTCCATTCCCCTTTTGTACCTCTTCCTTCTGCTTGCTCCTGCTTTCAGTTCCCATTCCCATCC